TATCTGAACTCAGGAACAAATATGAAAGGAATCCTGAAACAAACAGTGTGAAACCTTATTTTACTGCAAAGTCAAAAACAAACATTTTGAACTAACTCAGACATGACAGAGACACTGACTGAGACAAAGGGAATCCTGCAGCCAACAGAAAAACATCCCACTGTGCTGAATCTGATGAATCACCTGCTCTATAAATGAGTGCACAATCCCGCTTGTGTGCAAGATTACATTCAGCTTGATAATGAAGCCAAAGGAAGTGACTCAGTGGTCCTGATTCATCAGAAAGAGCGAGAGACAGACGGGATGCTGAGGGAAGACAAAGAATAATATACAGTATATATCAGTTTTACAAAACTCAACAAATCAAACTGATAGAAAGTTTAAACCTGTTTCTACCTTTATGTTATTTTACAACCAATCTAATTAGAGTTTAATTTTAAAATAAATGTTTGTCCAGCCTGGACATAGATCAAGGTTTAAAGTTACATGCCGATCTAAAAACGCAAGTCACCTCAGGGTAAATGCCAGAAATATTAAGAAAATAGTTTAGTGTTTTACTGACACATTTGTATTTTTTTTAATGAAAATTTCTGCATTTATAACGAGAAACATCAACATACAAAGGCCAGAAACAGCATGCCTGACCATGCTAACCAGAGAAGGAACTGACTAAATTGAAATGCTTGGTCTCAAAAACTTCATTTTGGTTCCTGTGAATTCAGTTTTTCAACCTTTACATCAGTATAAATTCCATAAAAGATGCCTATTTACATTGACCTTTGAGAAAAATTGAAATTAGTAGCAAATACAGCAGCTAGGTTTAGCACTCGGTGCAGCCAGGGGCAATTTAAGCAGGAAACAACCATGAAATCAAAACAGATAGGGGTTTAAAGATTTGTTTTAAGAAATCGTTTGCATTAACTGCTGCAAAAATGTTGAGACTAGTATTGTTTTAAGACAATAGTAATCTACTTTAGTCTTTGATGTGTTTAGATTAGCCCGTTACCTTGTCAATGCGGTCAGAATTAAATTATTTCTTCAAAGTGAAGTTGTTCATATATCTGTCTACAACAAGTAAGATATTAATTATTCATAACATTTTCACAGAACCTCACTTTACCTCACTAAAATAGAAATACATTGGTAAGGCCACTGATGAAGATAAGAGTCATGGCTGCCATCTTGCTAGGTGCTACGCCTAACACTCGTGCTCAGCTTGGGTGTGTTTTGTGTGTGATAAATTAAATGCAGAGCACTATTTTTTTAATTGTGTGAGAACACATAATGATGACAATATGTGCACTTTCAATGTATTAAAAGGTAAAGAGCAGCTGTAATGAACTTTCAAGCTAAGCATTAGTGGGAGCAAAACACTAACCCAGTGGGCTAAATGCTGCCTTGATAAAAATTATTGTCAAGGGAATTTAGGTAAATGTAATGGATGTTTATCAGTAATTAATGTTGAATTACTGTGTGTGAGTTAGAGTTGTTTTGCCTGCACACCTGCACATTCCAAGGTCTTCTCCGAGTCTGTAAGCTGGCAGACCGAGGTCATCAGTGTCTGTCTGATAAGCATTACAAAAAGCACTTCTTTTATGCTTATTTTCAGTAAGTAGATGATGAAATGATTTTTATTTTATCCAACATTTACCAAGTGCTGCAATCATTCTAAACAAACCAGTGTTTAAATGAATATTAAGTTATTATTTTCACTTCAACCAATACATTAAAATTATGTACTGTTGTTTTTTTTCTTACAAAGCATCTTAGATTTCTATGTATAAAAACCTTATCAGTAATTTCATGCTATACAACTATCTGACCAGCTGTTACTCTATTTCACTGTTAGCATATATTTTACTGACAACTTTATATTCAGATCGATAACTGTAATTTAAGAAAATATGTTACTGATAGAGCAGCACCGTGGCACAGTTGGTAGAGCTGCCGTCTCTCAGCGAGCAGGTTGCCCCGGCCGGGGGCCTTTCTCGGTGGAGTTTGCATGTTCTCTCCATGGATGCGTGTGTTTTCTCCGGGTACTCCAGTTTCCTCCCACAAACCAAAAACATGTATGTTGGGCTGATTGGTAACTCTAAATTGCCCCTAGGTGTGCGTGAGAGAATGAATGGTTGTTTGTCTCATTTGTCTCATTGTGTCCCTGTGATGGACTGGAGACCTGTCCAAGGTGTCCCCCTGCCTCTTGCACAGTGACTGCTGGATATGGGCACCAGTGATCCCCACAACCCGAAAAAGAAGAAGCAGGTAAAGATAATGGATGGATGGATGGATGGATGGATGGATGGATGGATGGATGGATGGATGGATGGATGATGAATGGATGGATGGATGTTACTGATATTGATGATATATTTCCAATAGCTGGTAAATATCTTCCTTAGTAACCTGCTTTACAGTAATTAAAGCTTAAAGAGAGCCATGACTCCTAGTATAATAATAACAGCATATTAAACTAGTATTTTCATTGAAACAAAAAAGTTAAATGTACTATCAGATTTTTTTTTAAGAACAGGTTCTCATTGTAATAATTCATAGCAACATATTGGTTTTCTTGGTTAGATTTATTTCGCCCCACCCTTCCAAATCAACGGTCTGCTGCCATGCTGGCAATGTGCGGTGGTTATTCTCTTGTATTTCTATTTGAGTGTTTTGAATTGTCCTTTTACGTACTGCTGCTTCACTGCCTGCATCATTCAGGATTTAGGTATAAAATGAAAGATCTTACATTTCAAAAATCCTAATCTCTTGGGTAAATCCAAGTCTCAAATATAATTGAACTGAACTAAGTTACAGGGGGAAATAAGAAGACTCAGTATCTTGCTGACAAATTTCCAAAACTGCAGCTGTTTAAAATGGATTTTAAAACCACAGTCTAAAAATATCAAAGTGCAACACAAAACATTAGACAGAGTCATCCAAAGCCACTCTGGATCCAAACCCAAACCCTCCTCCAGGTGTTGGTGTTTCCTGGTGAGCTTTTGTATAACTCGTGATGGTTTTGTGCGCTCCTGCTGTGCACTATTCAGGCTGTGGTTATTCTGAGCTCACTGCTGTCCTCACACATTGTGACGGGCAGCTTCCTGTTACCTCATATCCCGTCCCTTGGACACACACAGCTCATCAGGGAGTTTTGTCAACAGAAGCAGAGGTCACCATGATCCTCTTTGTATTGCACCTCACTCACTGCGTTTCTATTCCAAACACAAACATGTTTTCTCCAATTTACAGGACAAAAGTCGAGGTGATCTCTCATCATTTTTCACCAGGAACCTTTTGTTTGCATGTTTTTGTGTTAATGTGACAAGCATAAAACTGACGAGTATCCTAGTTCCAAACACATTAGTAAAATAATACTGTCATGTTTTTTACCCCTTTATCCTTCCTCAGCATGCTGTTTTCATGTTTTGTTTTCACCCCGAGTTCATTCAGCTCCTGTCATTCAATTATCTCCACTTTGCACCACGCCCCACTCTGCAGTCACAGCTCATGCTCTCCACCTATTCTCCTCTCTTCTTAAGCGCCCTGTCAACCCCCATTCAGTGCCAGGTTCTCAAACCTCCTCAGTAGTAGAAATCCAGCGGACCTTGTATTGACTCTTGCCTTGCCACGAACCCTTGCCTGTTTTTTTGACTCCTCGCCCTGCCTGCCCCTCTTAGATTTGTCTGCTTCTCTGACTATGGGAACGACTCTGTACTCCGAACGACCACGATCCAGGATTACAATTTGGCTCTGGTTTCTGCTCTCTGCTTCCCCGTGCTTGACCCCAGCTTCTACTATTGGACCTCGGAACCGGATCTCTCCTTCTAGACCTCTACGGTTTCCGTCAGCTCCGCTGCTACAATTCACTCTGCACTAGTGACATCACCAGCACCAGCGCAACAACAGCACCTGCCACTCCATCAAGACAGAATGTTACTGAAGATCTCAGAACTCCTCTGTGCTTCCCCATCTGCGCCAAGTACAACTCATCCCTCAATTCTAGTCACTTGTTTTATTTTATTTTATTGGCTGCTGCATTTAATCAAAAACATGCCAACACTCCAGCTTACCAAAAGCATACAAATAATTTTCTCAAGATATATATATATATATATATATATATATATATATATATATAACCTAAACAATACATTTATCTGCAAAACATTGTAATCAAAGGGCTGAGTTGAAGCAATGCACAAATTTGTTTACGGCTAGTTTGTTCAAGTTGTATAGGTGAGATTTGGGCCATGAGGACTATTTCTTAAGCAAGAAAGATCTATTTAAGAACAATAATTTAAAGCTAGAGAAAGTGAAAGTGGAAATTCAATGAAAAAAGGAAAAAATTGAAAAGGTTTTTCTCAAAATAGTGGTTCCTAACACTGGTCCCTGAGGAACACCACCCTGCATGTTTTAGCCGTTTCCCTGTTCCACACCTGATTCAGTGATTTAATTACTTCCTCAAGTTCTGCCAAAGCCTGTTTATCACCAAATTATTCAAACCAGGTGTGTCAAAGCAAGAAAACAGCTAAAACATGCAGGATGGTGTTCCTCAAGGACCAGTGTTGGGAACCACTGGCTTAAAATGCACATCTCACTTCGAGTCATTAATAAGCTTGAAAAGCTGCTTATGAAAAACAGCTGGCTCTGAGAAAAGAAGGCTAAGCTACTATTAATGATAAGCTTCAAAAAACAAATCATCTTTAACTTTTATTATTTTGAATGGAAGAAAATGTTCAAAAATACAAACCTTCAACATATAAATCATCCATTAGACAAAACTAGTTTATAATATGAGGTTTTACTTTAGTTTATTTGTTTTCACAGTAACAAAAAATTCACAATTACATTTATCATTTATTTCTGCCCATTTTTTATTGATTTTCAAGAGGAATCTGGTGGATCAGTTGTTTGCAGAAAACACAGTCTGCCACCCACTAACATTATTGAATTCCTGATTGAAACCAAACGAACCAAAGACATCTGCAGGAGCTGTCCCTCACCTGATGAAATAACAGCAGAAGATGAGGCTCAAGATGAAAACGAAGATGCCCGTTCCAAAGATGACCATGTAGATGTTGAGAGGCAGGTCCTGGAAAGTGATGGGCGGCATGGTGCACGTCTTGTTGGAGTAAACCAGTCCCAGACCACAGAAGCACCCTGAACCAAGACACACAGGATATTTCAAGATGTAACTGAAGTTGTCTTTTCACTACACGTGGTACATGAGGTGGAACAAAATGATGTACACAGGGTCCCAGTTACATCCAACTATAGCACAAATATAAATAAAAAAAAATAAACCGTAAATAAGGATCTAAGATAAGATATACACTAAACACTAACAATGTAAAACAATACGACGTAACAACAGCAGCATGAACATGAGTCTTGTGAGCAGATGTTTACAATGAATGTGAATACAGCAGCAAGAAATAATCAGCAGTATGAGATCAGCAGCATGGATAATCAGCAGCACATATATATCACCAATCAAAGTGACATTATTGTGATTTTTTTTTTTGTACATGTAACTATAGCAAACAGATTATAGGTAAAAAAAATAGAAAACAGTAATTTATTATTAAACCCTTATTTTACCAGGAAGAAATCCATTGAGATTATTAATCTCTTTTACAATGATGTCCTGGGCAATATGTCAATACAGCAGCACAGTCTTAAAAACAGTAACAGTAGTATTAAAATATTTACAACAAAACATCCGTTAGATACAATGCAAGTAAAAAAAAAAAAACACACAAACATTACAGGTGCAAGATGTGACTAAAACAGACATTTTTGCTTAAAACTAATTAAATGAATAAAAGACTCCAAGCTCAACTTAAGCTGCAGAGCATTCCAAGACCATGGGACAAAATAGGACAAACTCATCTTTGCTGACTCTGTGCACATGAAAGGTTGGAGTTCATATATGATGGTAATTTTCTTAAAATGATTTTGTATATGAAAATATACTAATGCTTCATCCTTCAAATATTGAGTGAAGTACTGTACGTCCAGCAAGGGTATATAAAGTACAATGTTGAGTCCTAAATGGTGAACCTGTTATATACCTCAGAGCAGCGTGGTAAACGGGGTCCAGTTTAGCTAAGGTAGTGGGGGAGGCAAATCTATAGATTTTGTCTCCTTAATCCAGCTGTGATGAAAACAATTTTCTTACAAGCCACTTACGCGAAGAAATAGAAAAACATGATTTCATACAAAAAAAACATAAAATAAGCTATAACTGGCCCATCTAAACGTGAAAGTTATCCCAACTGTAGCTAAACGCTCAAACTAGCTGAAGTGTAGATAAAAGCCAAACTTATAGGAAGACAAAAATAAAGCAAGTGTGCTGAAGCAGATTTCAAAACACAATGAATGGAGCTGAAGAAATGTCAGTTTCTATGGGAAATTATATTTTGAACAATATAATTTGACTACGAAACCAAAAGTCATAGCATACAGTTCAGGTGAATGCTGGATCAGCTATAAGACAAATAAAATACTTAATAGGATTGTTGTGAAAGTTTTCCAAACTCCAAGGATATTACTAGCATCCTCCTCCTCCTCCTCATAGTCATCATCATCGCCTGTTGTCAAAGGTGAAAGCAGAGCAATAATCTGTTTGAACACGTCTGTGTTTGCATCTGTGTGTTCATTTGTCTGTTCCAATCGTCTGGAGTCAATCTAATGAGACGGCCACTGCAGAGAAGTAATTTAAGAAAAAATTTAAAAAATAGCTATGAGTCGATCAATTTTACAGATATGGAGCAAAAACTTGGAGGAGGAGTAGCTGAAAGTTGTCCCCAAAATATAATCTGAGAGTAACAAATTGTGTGATATGTTTGCCAAAAATCTTGGTCATCATAGTTGGAGTTAGCCATGTTTGTTAGCAAAATATATCAAGAACTACTGAATGAACTTTAATGAAACTTTCAGAAAGTCATGACTGGATGTATGTCTATTAACTGGTTAACTTTTGACGTCACCCCAATTCAAAGCAGTTGTCACTCAACTTTGGCCAGCACCAGAAAATAAATAAATTAAAAAGTAAAACCAGTGACTTTTACAGATAGTAAACTTAAAATTGATGCAGTAGCTCAATGACATCCACAACATGTACCCCATGCTTTTACATGAATCTGCAAGATATCACAATAACGCATGATATTTTTCAGTACAAAGTGCTTGTAACTTGGTCTTTTCTCAACATAATAATAATAATAACCTCAGACCTCCCTCGGACATGGAGTGAACTGGACTTCATCAGCCAGGGAGCAGAGGAAGTCCAGTTTGGTTACTTCACGATTCTGTCTCTGCTCTTTGCAGATGATGTGGTCCTGTTGGCCTCAGGTTGTGACCTCCAGCTCTCACTGGAGCGGTTCATAGTGTGAAACAGCTGGGATGAGAATCAGCACCTCCAAATCTGAGGCCATGGTTCTCAGTCAGAAAAGGGTGGATTGCTCTCTTCGGGTCGGGGGTGATGTTCTACCTCACATGGAGGAGTTCAAGTATCTCAGGGTTTTGTTCATGAGTGAGGGAAGAATGGAGCGTGAGAGTGACAGATGGATTGGTGCAGTATTGCAGACTCTGTGCCGGTCTGTTGTGATGAAGAGGGAGCTGAGCTGTAAGGCGAAGCTCTCTGTTTATCAGTCAGTCTACGTTCATACCCTCACCTATGGTCAGGAACTCTGGGTAGTGACCAAAAGAACGAGATTGCGGATACAATTGGTCAAAATAAGGTTTCACTGCAGGGTAGACTCTCCCTTAGAGATAGGGTGAGAACAGTTACTGTATCTGGGAGAGACTCAAAGTAGAACCGCTGCTCCTCCACATCAAAAGGAGCCAGTTGAGGTGGTTTGGGCATCTGGCAAGGATGCTTCCTGGGCATCTACCTAGGAAGGTGCTCCAGACATGTCAGACTCAGAGGAGACCCAGGACACGCTGCAGAGACTGTCTCTCTACTGGCCTGGGAACGCCTTGAAATCCTCTCAGAAGAGCTGAAAGAGGTGGCTGGACCTCGCTGCTTAAGCTACTGCCTTCACAACCCGACTCTGAAACAAGTGGGGGATAATGGATGGATGAAGATAATCTCAGTCTAAAACTCACTCATGAAAGGTGATGGGCGGAATGAATTCTTTCAAAGAATGGTAGACTTTCAATTTGAAAAAGTAATAATGTTTTTATCTGATTACCTGACAGAAATATATCCTTCATTTGTGTTTTCAGCAAGGAAAATATAAAAATCCATGTACTTCCTGGATGATTTTTTTTTTTTTTTTTTGCTTACCATAACCAGAGTCTAGCTTAGTTTTGTTTGCGCTTCCTTTATCTTCCATTCTTCATGTTGGTGAACTTGAACAATAATCACTGGAATGCTGGATGAATGGATGAGTAAATGATGGGGAGGAAGTATGGAATGAGAGATAAACGGTGGATGTTTTAATAGACAGACAGCTATTAGCAAAGACAGGAGGGTGTATGGATGGCCAAATAAATCCACGCCTGGATGAGTTAGAATGAAAAGGCGGATGGGTGAAACTCCTTCTCATCATTGTTCCCTCGTAACTTTAGTTTGCTCATACCCTTTTCTCGTCACCTACCAGAGAATCAACACAAAGACCTTTCTATCTAACACCTCTCCTGCCTCTTGGAGACAACTTCAGGAGCAGACGATCAATACGCTCCACCTCTTGATTCATGCAGTCAGATAATCTTAAGTAACGAAAAAAGGCATCAATGAGTGTTCAAGATCCACCGCCTCATTCAGCGCGGAGCATTTATTAGCATAAACATCAAAGCATGGTCTTTGATCAGTGTCATATCCCTCTACATCAGCAAACACTGGTAAAAGCAGGAGAAAAATCACAAAGAAATAAAACACCTCTACAACTTCTCTATTTTGTTCCAAAGCTTGTTGCACATTTATTTATTTTGTTGTTCCACCGAAAAGTACCTGTGAGAAGACCATTGTCCTACAATAATGTTAAGCAGATACTTTATAAATAAGGTTTGATTCAAAGTTGCTCATGTACAGCCAGATATCGGTTTCTGAAAACTTCATTAAAATCTGTTTATAGTGATTCGTGCAATATTTTGCTAACAGTCCAATACAGTTGACTTCAGGAAGCAATGCCAAAGTCTTAAACCTAAAATATTTTGTGATCAGGTAGCACTTACAGCATGTGATAGGGTCACTTTCAGCTACTACCACACCAAATTTTAGCTCAATAATTGTAGAAATGGCAGTTATTGTAACCTGTTTAGGCTAAAATAAATAGCTGTGGCAGCCATCTTGAATTGTGTTCACCCTAAAAGTTATAACCGGTAAGTTGTATATGTACATCCAATGATTACGTGCTGAGCGTTTCATTAAAATCCATTGACCAGTTCATGAGATATTTACCAACAAACACCCACTGGCAATTACATGATCACTCACCTTTCATGACAGTGGGTAATAATAATAATAATGGTACCACTTTACAATAAGGCTCTCCATATAGATGGCTAATAAATAATTTATAGATATGTTATTAATTCCTCTATAAACACTTTATAAATCATTAATAACTGCTTATTATGCATTAATTAAGGGCAACAGAGAAAAAACTGACCAGTTTCTTCCCAAATAGTGAGCCAAATTGTTCACTTATATATTTAATCTAGAGTTCCTATATTAAACATTTCAGCCAAAGTAACTACCTTGAAAGCATAATAAGTATTTGTAAACCTATTTCTTTAGCATATAATATTGTACTTTATCACTGCATTATAAGTATTTACAACAATTATTATATCCTAAAAATATTAGGTTTACAAATGCTTATTGTGCTTACAAGGTAGTAACTTGGTCTGAAATGTTTAATATTACAACTAGATGAAATATATAGATGAACAGATTTGGTTCACTATTTGGCAAGAAACTGGTCAGTTTTGTCTCTCTGTCACTCTTAGTTAATGCATAATAAACAATTATTAATGACTTATAAAGTATTTATAGAGAAATTAATAATGTATCTATAAACTATTTATTAGCCATCTATAAGAGGAGCCTTATTATAATGTGGTGCCATAATAATAATAATTAATTACTCGTAAGAACACTTTTTTGATTCAGACCGTCATTAAAATGCTGCAAGCAGCACC